GCTTACAACAAGGTCATCATCACATGGCTTCACCACTTACCGTACACTCCTTGGCATCGTATGCCTTCAGCAGCCAGCGCCAGCAGCCCCCAAAAAACGACCATTAGATCCATCTTGTTTGTTTTTCACGTTAATCTCTGCATATCCAGCTCTCAGCGGCGAGAAGTCCTTTCCGGGGCGGTGAGGTGCATATGGACCGTCGATTGATTCAGTCGCAGTGAAGGTAAAACAGGTTGTCAGAGAGGGAGGGAGACGGGGTAATGATGTCTTTGACGGAAGAGGGAGAAGCGGCACCCAGACGCCGCGGAGGATGCGATGGGGCAGGCGGGCAGACGCGGGGAGCGAGCTGCAGAGAGGCCGGCCCTCGTTCGCAGGTTTCCAGCCAGGGTAGCTCCGCTCTCTTCCCCCTCGCCTCTCCTCTCACGTCCCCCTTTACCGAAAACACGCTCGAGGCGCCGAACCGAGGAGGGCTTCAGTCGGTTCAAGCCGCGGACACATCAAATCCAGCTGTGGTCAATCAGTCAGAGCTCGCGCGCCGTCGCGCGCAGCTGTCACAAAACGAGGGCCAGCATCAGTCCCTGTCAGGGAAACGGTCCGATTCTCACCTTCCTATTCACGGCAAAGTCCGGAGCACTCAGTCAGTCACATCACGACCGCACACCGACGCTCGACTCATCTCTCCCGGTGACAAGGGGAGGGTCCATTCCGGTTATGAAAGAAAGAAAGGGGGGGAAAAAGACAGCTCCTCTGCGATAATTTCCAATGTAATACCAATGTTGGTTTTTTTTTAGATTTGCTAAACGAGCATCTGTCACGTTGCGCAATAAAATCTGTGCTACAACGGAGAGAGCGAGCGGCACCGCAACCGGTCCGTGGCTACGTCAAGAGGTGCGCTCGTCTGCACGGGAGGCTGCGCTCGGCGTCAGGAGGGAAGGAGGCAGGAGAGGCGCAGCTGCTGGAGGCTGAGGGAGGGAGGGAGGCAGGGAGAGGAGGTGGAAGCATTGGAATTCAGGAGGTCTAGCTTTARCAGAGCTTTAGTAAACGCGCGCGCGCACACACTGCACATCTGCATGCTCACTATTCTTTCAGAGGATGAGAGGCTGCCTGTCATCTTCTGCTACATGATTTTATTTTTCAATTTATTGTTACTTGAAAAAGAAAGATATGAGTACTGCACACACTGCAGCAAGCTTACTGTTGTTTTTTAATCTCTCTCTCTCTCTCTCTCTCTCTCTCTCTCTCTCTCTCTCTCTCAAAAAAAAGTTTTGAAGAGAGATATAGCTAACTGGTTTCCAGGGTCTCAGAAGTGCCTCAGGGGTGCTGCAGGCACTTCCAGAGAGGAGGTCCCTGTAAAATGAGAAAAAAAGAGAGATTTTATTCACTTCTCCCACAGTTAGTCAATAGAGAAAGTCAAGCTGAGGGACGTGGGCTTCACTCACAGTTCAGTCTTTATACGTCCGACATAAATGAGTCTGCTTTGTTGCATGGCTTCATTTCATGTCAAAGCTCTAAATGTTGGACATTTATTTTACAGAATTTGCACAAAATGGCTTTAAGTGGTGAAATATTTGCAGTAATAAAGGCACAGTTGAATGTTTCTTGAGAGACCCAACAATTTGATTCCTTGTAATGCCACCTGCCAGGATATAAACTTAAATCATGTTGTGCCGGGAAGGGAAGGAAATAGCTTTATGGGTAAACATTTTATATGACTCTAAGCACTAGCTAATGCAACATTACGAGCTCCTGTGAGATCTGTGAGCTTATGTGTTAAGAATGACACTCAGCTAMCATAACAAATAGTAGGGTATTTACTGATTTATATTGAGTCTTCACATTACATGTTTATGCTTGAGATGTTTAGAATACTTTTCTAATCAATGTGCAATAAATTTTTATTTGTGATTAAATGAAGTTGAGAATGTCTAGTTGCACATCTCACACTGATACAACACAACCAGGTTTGCATAAACGGCTCGACACATGGGAAGTGACAAACGACAGCAACAGGTGGCAGTCTGCCATCGGGGTAAAACCCAACACACAGGACAAGACACGACAACAGTGTTGCGAATCATGCTCTTGTGTTGCTTGTCAACAAGAAATTTGATTGGTTATTGTATGAGTAAATTATTGTTATAAAAATGCACGCTACGGTACGACTTCATGTGGAGAAAACTTACCTAATTTACACCTTCACTATGGCACCAACAAGTTATGTTGCCTTTTGTGTTTGTGTGTGTGTGTGTGTGTGTGTGTGTGTGTGTGTGTGTGTGTGTGTGTG